TCAGGTGCGTGGCTCTTAAGTGTAGAGAACAGCATGCAACACCCACACCTTATTCCTTAACCAAGCTTTGCAGCATCAACACTTATAGAAAATAATTATTTTGAACAATCGTTAACTTCAAAATATCCCGATACATTTTGATCTGATTCGCCTACTGCGGCGTGGATAAATTTTGTGCGTTCAGGCTAAAGAACTACGGGTTTTGGCTAGAGGAATGTGGGTTTTGGCTAAAGCATTTCGGGCTTTGGCTGAAGGAATACGGGTCGAGGCTAAAGGATGGCGGGATTTGGCTAAAGCTTGATGGGAAAAGGTGTAGAACGGCTCTCAACTCTTATTATCCATATATTCTCACAATTTGGTTTAGAGAGAACCTGAGGTTAAATTAACTTCTTATTGCTAATTGAAGGAGTGTTTCATTTCGTTATTCCTGATCAAATCTATTGGTGTTCGACAGTATGAAAGAGAACGATAAAACGGCACAGACAGAGAAACAAATCGTGAATAGCCTCAAATCCTTAAAGGACCAAGGGTATATAGACCAATCCGTGTTCGACGCAATAAAGCTGTCTGGGTCAACCATTCCACGCCTTTACGGGTTACCCAAGATTCACAAAACTGGCACACTATTAAGACCAATTCTATCTATGGTCAACTCACGGGACCACCGGACTGCCAAGTGGCTCGTAGGAATTCTCGAACCAGTTCGCACAAAGCTCGCAAAATACAGCTTACGCGACACATTTGAGTTTGTGAACACTATCAGCCAGCGGAACGTAAAGAATGATCAAATGTTTTCACTGGATGTAAGGTCCTTGTTCACAAACGTACCACTATTAGAAACCATCTATTTCCTCTGTCGCCACACTGAAACTGAACAAATACACTTAGGAATACCAATGAAGAACCTGAAGGAGATACTACTGAGATGTACATACAATGTTCAATTTCTATTTGATGGAGAATTCTACCGTCAAGTAGACGGAGTGACCATGGGTTCCCCACCAGACCCATTGTTAGCAGACATATTTATGGCCAAATTAGAAAGTACAGCGTTGAAGCGAGAAATAGAGTAAATCAGTCTATACTGGCGCTATGTGGACGCCATATTCTGTCTCACACCGAAAGGTAGGAACACGACAAGTTTGCTCCAGAGATTCAACGAAGCTCACGAATCAATTCATTTCACGTTGAAAACTGAAGAAAATGATAATTTGGCCTTCCTAGATGTGGCACTCATCCGAAGAGATGATGGTTCCCTAGAGCGTCGAATATATAGAAAACCAACTTGGACGGAACAATATACACACTTTTACAGCTTCGTCCCACTCAGACAGAAGAGAAATTTAATTCAGAGTCTCACATCAAGAGCGCGAAAGATCTGCTCGGACAATGTGGTAAATGAAGAACTAACAAAGATTAAGGACGTTCTCAGAGAAAACGGTTATCCTGAACGGTTCATCGAGAGAAAATTCCAGGAAAGGCGATAATTCGATCAGATTCATGAGGCCCAAAAGAAGAAGCCATTCATTCTTCATCCTTTTCAAGGAGATGCTATATCAGACCTCTGGGACAAAAGTCCTAAGCGTGCAGTGAAGCGGACCTAGAACGC